ATTGCAGTTACATGTGAGTACCCTCCACCAATCATACTGCTCCACCTATACTAGTGCAGGAAGCTCCCTCTACTTTTCCAGCCCAATGCTCACTTCCTTGATTGACATTCTGATGTATAGACGTGTGTTTTAATTTGTTCTCCATGTGACTACAACATTTTTATTGTGCTTGATCAAAATTTGTCTCAGTTTTAACTTCATTGTTTCTACTCATTTGTTTTAGAAATGTTTCTCTTTTCCAAATTCTACTTTGTTCATATGAATTTGAAATTTAATTTGGTGGTTGATGAAATTTCCATAAGTAGACAATGGTTCTGATATTACTCTCCAAGTATCAGGGTCGACAATGTCTGCTGAGGAAGCACAGGCTTTGGTTTGCGGGAAGTTTGTGTGTTACATATGGCCAACAATGTTTTCCTTTCATGTTATAGTTTTTGTGAAGAGGGATATAACTACTGTGTGAAAATGTTCTTTCTCTGGCACTTTCCACCTGTTATCAAGCCTCCACATAATCTGCTGGGTTAGGTACTGTTCTTTTTCCCAGGAGATGTTTGGTAAGTTTTTCAGTGTGTATTTCTCACTGTATGCATACCTATGTTCAATGAGTTTATATGAGCTAGTTTGGATAGAGTTAATTTCCACACGTTAATTTACGTCATTCATGTCTTCCCTCCTCAGTATTGGGTAGGTTAGATTTTTATACTACTTTTACCATCTAGGTTACTTTAGCTTAAACTTGTGTTTGGAGTTTAATTATTCCTTTGTTTTTGTTTAAATTGTTACTTTTCACTGTCAATATTATTTAGTTTCTAAGTTTCTTTTTTTTTCCTATTAGTCACATCTACTTGGGTTTAGATTTGACTCAAACTTTGTTATTGTTAACTGGATACCTTTTTATTCTCCTGTTCTTCAGGTGGGTTTTATTTTTGTGTCCTTTGTCTTATAGATTCTTTGAGTGTACTTGTACATTATATATATTTATGGGTCATTTATCTTTTAAGTTCCTTTAGTGGTTTTGTACTTTTAGGTGTTACTTATTGTTTTATGTTTTTGATCAAATTTCATAGTTTTGCAAGTTTGTTGTGTTACTGTACTTTGTAGACTCTACCTGTTTCTAAGTTTTCTTAGTTTGTTAGTAGAGGTACTTTCTCTGAGTATGTTTAGTTTACAGTTCTACGCGTTCTATCTGAGGGTTGTTACCTTCCATTTCGCTCCCCTTCTATCCACTTCCCAGATCTCCTTCCCTCCTCTTCAGGATCATACCTCATCCAGTTCTCTTGCCAAGTTTGTTTGAGACCTACTACACTGTCCTACTGCCATTCAACCTTTCTTCAGCTCCATTTGCATTTTCTCAAGTGGTATGCTCTCGAGTTGGAAGTTCTCTGCAATTCCCGTCTCAATTGGGTCCAGTTTCGCCACTTAGGCTCTACGATATGTAGCAGGCAGTCACAAAGGCTTTACCTTCTCCTTCTCTCTCTCTGCATGAGAGGCTCCATCTTGTTTGAGGATTTCAAGTCGGTGGTCAATCAAGAAGGCTACTCTCCATATCCACATCCTGGAACCTTTGACAGTTCATTGGGCTCTGACAATTTCACTGTCATCAGCTATATCACCAAGCAAAGAGGAACTAAGTCCAGATCTCTGTGTTTTCAGACTCTAGATCTCCCATGCTAGGCCTATGACCATGCCATGGTTCCTGGAGTTATGAATCTTGTGGCCAGTTGCTTATCACATCCCACCCAGATTCTCCTCACAGTGTAATCCATTCATCCTTAGGTATTTCTGTGGATGTGATCTAAACTGGAAACAACTCAATTATATGAGTTTCCTACTCATTGGAATGCCAAACTTTCTTCCTTTTGGTCTCCAGTTCATCACCCCTCAGCTCTGGGGGTGGATGCTTTCAGTCAATATTGAAAGGGTCTTCATCTATATACCTACCCTCCACTCAGACACCTCTCCTGGGCCTTTTCCCTTATCCTAACCACTCCTTGTTGTTTTCTGCTAATTACTCTGTATTGGCTGGCTCAGATTTTGTTCCCTTACTGGAGCAACAGACCCTGCTCTTATCTCTGTCCTGATTGCCCCTCCGACAATCATGATCAGACATTTTTCATCGTAATGTCACCACACTTCATCTTCATAAGTGACTTTTGTCCAGTCTGGTCCCAAGCCTCAACTCACAGACTCACCCCTCATGTAGCATCTTTCCTTGCACTTACCATTTGCCCTTTCTACTTAGCTATGTACCATAGGCATTGGTCTTAATTCAGGCTTTGATCTATTTGCCATGGCTTCTTGCCAATCCATCCTTCTGTTCTTCACCTGTCCCAGTTCTTCACCCAGTTGTTTGATCAGGATTTGTCTGTTTCAACTGTTGTTCTTTATAGGACTGCCCTGTCGAAACACCTTCTGTTCTCCCACTTCCAGAAAGCCTTCTCTTCCCAGGTCATTTCCCTCTTTTTCCATTCCTTTACTTTGGTCCATCCTCCACATTCCTTTGTTCTGCCAGATTGGGATATCAATGTTGTCCTTCATGCTCTGTCTGGTTTTCCCTTTGAACCAATTACAATGTGTTCCTTGTACTAATATATATCATTCTGATATTCATGACATTAATGTTTCCTGCATCCTTCAATATTCCGTGTATCTTATCCACTGTCGGGATTGGGCCTTCCTTC